TTTTTGAGATGAGATGCTCATGTCAAAGAACTTAGAGAGAATAAGAGACAGCGAGTATTCAGCCCACATTAAATTATTTTGGCAACGAAACTGATGAAGAAAAACACAATAAAAATGCTGAAAAGAACTTTTCCAAATGTTTCTTTGAAAGAATTTGTACACAGACAAGAGCTGCTGGTCCCACACCAGACTCCTGGGCCAACCTTTTCTTTTTCCCTTTTCTTTTTCTAAAGATTTTATTGGTACCCTTAAATTTTCAAGGTTTTTATAGGCAGAGAGAACGTCCTGCCAATTACTTTTCCTCTACAACTCTGCAAAGTTTGTTTTCAGTGTTTTACCGTTATTTTTTAGTATTCTAAGGTTTTGAATGGTACTAAAACTACAGTTCATTAAGACTCTAGTTGGACTTTGGCCTAATAATATTTGCCTTTAATTCTGTATAAAACGGGACAAGAGCTTCCGAGCTATATTTGCTTCTAGAAAAATTATTTTCTTTTCCTTAGGACAGAAGAAATATCTGCTTACTGCTATTTTACTCAAAAAAAGTGTTTTCAGAAAAATGCTTGGGAAATATTCAAATCATGTCATGTAATGGAAAGCTTTACCAGGATATCCTGGAAGTTTTGGAAAGTTCCAGGCTGTTTTGGGTTACACAGCCTACAGCAGGCTGTGAAATATATACAATACTGGGAAAGAGATCACGTTAGCTTTTAACCACTGTGCTGGATGAGCACGGGACAAGCAAAACTCATGTCAGAAGCTGAAGAGATGAAGTCATGTCACACTTGAGCTGCACTGAACTTCCTCAGCACTTCTGGGAGCTGTCCTGACCGGTCCCTAAGCTGCGTGTGCCTTCCCTAAAGCAATTCAGAAGTTCTCTACAGGACCAAAGACATACTCGGACATTCCCTCGGGACTGGCCTCAAAGCAGTGGAATTCTCCTCCCTCCCCATTAATCCCTGATGTACAACAAATGACATCTTGCAGGGTTAGGAAAAAATCTTTTTTACCAAACAAACCCTATTGTCTGTTTGATTCTTGTGGTTTCCTGATGCTGGCTGCAGTTTGGGGACAGCAATAATTCCATAGGCTCTAAATCAGCCAGTGGGCTCGTTTGGAGGCTGCTCTTGTGAGGACACCAAGGAGCCTCTAACCACACTCCACAGCAGCAGCTCTTTCACACACACACACACAAAATCTTAAAAATCAAGAATGCTTTCATTAACATCCTGTGTGCCAGTCCCAATTCAAGCTCTCTCAAGGATTAGGAATGCCAGTATAATTCTACAGGAAATGCTGGAAACTACCCCAGAAAACTCCATGGCGCAAGTTAATACAGTAAACCTGTAAATTCAATACATCTAAATCCAAACTTTTAGTTATGCAATAATATAAACTGCAGGAACACTTTCCCTGGCAGTGTTCAAGGCCAGGCTGGATGAGGCTTGGAGCAACCTGGTCTAGTGGAAGGTGCCCCTGCCCCTGGCAGAGGGTTGGAATGAGATGACCTTCAAGGTCCCTTCCAACCCAAACTATTCTGCGATTCCATGATAAAATTTACTGCTTACATTTCCTTGGAACTTGCTAAAGCCCATAAGAAGATGGTATATGTTTTATAATTGGAGCAGCACAAGAAATACTAATGAAATTAATAATGATCCTGTTATGCTAACATTAGACTAATAAATAACTTGAGTCTGCTATTCCCCAGAACATGGTTATTTTTCTAAAGACTTATTAGTTTTGGAAACACTTACCATGCACGTTGTGTATTTTTCAGGAACAGAACAACACTTCTTCTACCCTTTATTGGATGAGACATAAAATAACAAATGCTAAAGCGGTGTGGCCATTAAAAATCATGTGCTATCACTGGCGAGAGCTCCAGCAATCGAGCCAGCTCCCCAGGGTAGAAAGAAGAATTCTGTCTCTTATCCACTTCCCAGGTTATTCCAGATCCCGAGTTCAGGCAGATCTAATATAAAACTGCACTTGATGACACCTGCAGTTTTGAAGCCAAACCTTCTCTCTCTGCTACATCATAACTTTCCTTCCACAGCAAGGGGAAATTCCTGACTCTTCACTGACATCTGGCATTCACCTGTCACCCACAGTACTAAATCATCTCTATGGTCCCTTCCAACCCAAACCATTCTATGACCTTAAGAATTAGATTCTTTTCTATAAAAAATTATTGCTATTAAAAAGAATATTTATATGTAGAATATAAATATTTTTTAAAAAAGAAAACCTCTTCCCAACATCTTCACTTGAGTAATGGGCTTACGCCTACCAGACAAAAATGCCTGAACTATTTCTAATTGAAGCTTAATAAAAGTCCGGAATAGGTTCTGAATTGGTGATGATAATTTTAAATCTTGAACTTTATTCTGAATAATTTTGAGACACATATATGGTTTAAGCTTGACACCATATTACACAGAGAGAACTATAGAGCATTCTTTCTCGTTTTAATGTATATCAAACTGTTATCCATTTCCAACTTTATCGCCCCTCTTTTTTTCCTCCTCTGGGCAGCGATTTTTTCCCCTGCAGTATGTAAATCTAATCCTCAGGTAGATTCTTTGTCCTGCTGAACTGAAGTCAGAGAAATACACCAAGAAAAGGTTCCTTCCAAGTTTCTCTTTCCCCATTAGCTGCCATAGCTCTCCCCCCAGGATACTCATTTATTTACAAAGATCTGCGAATTACAGCCCTTGGCAGTGAAGTATTGGTGCTTTAAATAATTGTTACTGGAGACACATCAGCCAGACAAAGAGGCAAAACCTTGGCTGGGATAGTTTTGCCTCCTCACAACAAGATTTAGTTGCTGTGTCCTTTTTGGAGAGTGGTAAAACCTTGGAGCTGGGGATGTAAATATCTTGTCTGGCTGAGCTAAGTGCTGCTGTAGAATACATTTACTAAATGTTCTAGCAGAGGTCAGAAAATTGCTTGGAATGGCTTGGAAGCTGCTCTTGAATTAGAGACAGTTGGTACAGAAAACAGTTTCATGATAATCAGAAAAATGTTAACATCCTGAATGCTTAAGAGTGTTACCTGGTGAGGGAAAAAAAAAAGCAACTTAAAACTGATTTACTCACCTGACTGTAAGAGACAGTGTATTTTTATTGCATCATTCACAGCCAGGTGACATGCAGAAGAGAAGAGCCTGGATGTGCCAGCACTTCCCCCCCAGGTGTTTCTGTCATTCCTCACCTCTTGCTTGCCTCCCTGTCATCTCCTCGATCCCTCCCACCTCAGACAGCCTCGCCGTGGCCTTGTACTCCTTCTGCTGCACCTTCGAGTCCATCTCTTTTCCACCTGAACAAACACAGTTTATTTCCATTCTGCAAACTGTCAGAATATCTACTGATTTCTCTCTACTTGTCTAGTGCAACTCAAGCAGAAAGTTCATCTTGGATGCACCAAAATATCTCCAAAAACTATAAACCACGGTGCTGCTTTTCCAGCTACAGAGCAGACAGCACTGAAGCCTTGTGGAACAAGTCTGTTCTCTCCTCACCTCAACATGAAGGTTCAAGAGTTCTGGGTTATAATCTGGATAACTGGGTAAATTCTGGAAAATTCCACTGTAGCGTGAAGTGGAATTTTCAGGTGGATCTTTTCTTTCTAAGTTTTATACACACCTCTCTGCTCCTGCATTGTCTGCCCCAAAATGGCGGGGACTGACCCAGGGGCTGCCCCAAAATGGCGGAGACTGACCCAGGGCCTGCCCCAAAATGGCGGGGACTGACCCAGGGGCTGACCCAAAATGGCAAAGACTGACCCAGGGCCTGCCCCAAAATGGCGGGGACTGACCCAGGGCCTGACCCAAAATGGCGGGGACTGACCCAAAATGGCGGGGACTGACCCAGGGCCTGCCCCAAAATGGCGGGGACTGACCCAGGGGCTGCCCCAAAATGGCAGAGACTGACCCAGGGGCTGACCCAAAATGGCGGAGACTGACCCAGGGGCTGACCCAAAATGGCGGAGACTGACCCAGGGGCTGACCCAAAATGGCGGAGACTGACCCAGGGGCTGCCCCAAAATGGCGGGGACTGACCCAGGGCCTGACCCAAAATGGCAGGGACTGACCTAGGGGTTGCCCCAAAATGGTGGAGACTGACCCAGGGGCTGCCCCAAAATGGCGGGGACTGACCCAGGGGCTGCCCCAAAATGGCAGGGAGTGACCCAGGGCCTGACCCAAAATGGCGGGGAGTGACCCAGGGCCTGACCCAAAATGGCGGGGACTGACCCAGGGCCTGACCCAAAATGGCGGAGATTGACCCAGGGGCTGCCCCAAAATGGCAGGGACTGACCCAGGGCCTCGAGAGCCCCAGAATGCCTGCCCCAAAATGGCGGGGACTGACCCAGGGGCTGACCCAAAATGGCAGGGACTGACCCTGGGGCTGCCCCAAAATGGCGGGGACTGACCCAGGGGCTGCCCCAAAATGGCAGAGACTGACCCAGGGGCTGACCCAGGGCCTGACCCAAAATGGCGGGGACTGACCCAGGGCCTGACCCAAAATGGCGGAGATTGACCCAGGGGCTGCCCCAAAATGGCAGGGACTGACCCAGGGCCTCGAGAGCCCCAGAATGGCGGGGACCGACCCAGGGCCTGCCCCAAAATGGCGGGGACTGACCCAGGGGCTGACCCAAAATGGCGGGGACTGACCCTGGGGCTGCCCCAAAATGGCGGGGACTGACCCAGGGGCTGCCCCAAAATGGCAGAGACTGACCCAGGGGCTGCCCCAAAATGGCGGGGACTGACCCAGGGGCTGACCCAAAATGGCGGGGACTGACCCAGGGGCTGCCCCAAAATGGCAAAGACTGACCCAGGGGCTGACCCAAAATGGCGGGGACTGACCCTGGGGCTGCCCCAAAATGGCGGGGACTGACCCAGGCCCTCGAGAGCCCCAAAATGGCGGGGACTGACCCTGGGGCTGCCCCAAAATGGCGGACTGAGCCGATAGCCTGTCCCAAAATGGCGGCTGACCCATGGTCTGGTCCAAAATGGTGGACTTCATGGATAAAATGGATTTAAAAAGCAGCTAAGCCCACGCTGGATCCCAAGGGGGTGAATATATATCTTTCTCTCTCGTTTTTCTTTCTGTGTTTCTTTCCTCTCATAACTTCTTCCCAAAATATATTGTAAGCCAGGCCAAAAAATTCCAGTCAATGCCTCAGTAAGGGCCTTGTTGTGTCTGGATAAATTCAAGTTTAAGAAGTGCCCCTATTTTGTCGGGATGTTGTTTTAAAATTTGCCAAGTACCTTATTCTACCTTAATGTTCTAAAGTTTGCAAGTAAAAGTGTGTTAGCGAATCTCCTGAGAATTCTGTTGTTTCTTCCACGCCTCCCCCTGAGCCTGCTGAGGGGCCCGGGTTTAACGATCTTTAATTCTAAATTAGTTCTTTAAAAAAACCAACCAACCGACGAACCAACCAAACCAAACCAAACCCAGGTCTCCCGGAAGGAGATCTCATCTCGTAAATGGCTCTGGATAAAAAAAACTTGCCTTTTATCCCACTCTGGTGTGTTCCCAGGTGCACCATTCCTGGCTCCCCTGTGGCGCGAGGTACTTAAAAAAAAGCCGTGTGGCCGTGGCACCTGGGGGACACGGGTTAGTGGTGGCCTTGGCAGTGCTGACCCTGCAGGGCTTCTCCAACCTTAAAGGCTCTATTTCCATGACAAAAGAAACGTACTTGCGACTGTATTCCTTGGGACCGCACCTTCAGGCTCCTTAGGGCAGGGGTGCCCTCTCCTGGGCACTGACTCTGCGCTTCCCACCCAGCTCTTCTCTGCTCCGAAACTTCCCAAAACTGAGCTTGAAAAGAAAAAAAAAAAAGAAAAAAAGGCCAATTATTTGCAGCTGGCTCAGAAAAGTCTGCGAAACAGTAGAAGGCACTTCATTCTATCAGTGTTTGTGAAGGGAAAAAAAAAAAATCAGTGTTTTTGAGAAAAAACAGTTAGAAAACAGTGATAGAAGGAAAATGTGGTTTTGGGGTACCATACAATATTTGGAAAGTTGCTAACTCCTGGATAACCCATCCCTTAAAAAATACTCTGCTCCGGCTGGGTTCAATTTCAGCTAAGAACTGTCTGAAATTTGGAAGTCAAGCACAGAAGAGTCTTAGCTAGAAACCAAGTTTTTTTCTAGAGCATTATATTAGGGCCTAAAATCAAAAAGGACCACAAGGACTGCATTTTTCCCCAATACAGCAGCAGTATGGAAAATCTGGGAAAAAAAATAGTTCAGGATTGCTCTTTGATTATTGAAAACCTTGAAAAAAAGATTTGTTTGTTCTAGACAGTGAAATACTTGGATCAAGTGTTGCTTACAAGATGAGCATCCTGAAAATAAATCTGAGAAGCCACTTTATAGTCATTACAAGAAAGCCCCAAGAAAAAGGTTCAGAGTAACTATCAAAAAAGCTACAATTTACCTTCTCTACAATAGAGTTTTCCCTTGGAATTCTGGATAAAATAATTCTGAATAAAAACACGAGTTTCTACTACAGCCCAATTAAAAATCTCATTTTTTCCTGTTACAGACAGGAAATCACTACCTAGATCAGCAGCAAAACTGCAGATCATGTTAAAGCTCACACGTACAGACTCAGACTGAGGGGTGTGTATATATTTAGGCACTAGAATATACCTATTACACCAGTGTTTTCCAACTTCATTTAAAGCCCAGCCATGTCTCTCTCAGCAGGGGGAAGCTTTAGCCACCCCCGGGATGTGCTATTAGAAGTGGTGACACCTCTTTGCATAAAAACAATGCTGGAACGCTCAGCGCTGAGGGATCCATTTCCCTGAGCACTCAGACGTGGCTAACGAAGGGATTAATTCACCCCAGGTATAACTGCAACCACCGCAATAAGAGAAAAAGAGGCCAAACACGTTTCAAGGTCAACGCAAGTTTGTTCAGAGTTTGCACTTTTTCCACCACCCATTCTCTCACACGTCTTTTTACTCGTTTGTGTTGGTTTTTTTTGTTTGTTCCCTCCACCCAACAACTGCAAAATGCAGCGGGTTTCAGCAGTTAATTCCCCTGGGATAAAGGATATTTTCTGGCTATATCAAATACATATCACTGTTTCTCAACCCACCTTGCTCCATCTGGCAGAAGTCTGTCAGTTTGTCTTTCTAGGGAACGAAATCATTACAAATGTTTCCTAACCTGATGCTCTCAATCTGGACTTTACCAAAAAGCGGAGGTTTTTATGGATTTGAGAGAAGACAAATGCTTTTGAGCATTTCTTCACCTAGCAAGTATGAGGGAAACACAGAAAACCCTAAAATACTGCGGATTTTTCAGTAAAGAGTACCCATAGAATACAGGGTCTTCTCTCACATCTGGCATCTCCAGAATGTTTGGATGCTTGAAAAATCCTAAGAGCAGAAAGCTGGAGTATGGAAGCTTAGCTAAATCTTACCTTTTTCTCCCTGAAAACTCAGTGTGCTGGGGTTTGGGTTAACCCTCATTAACAGGAAGATGGGAGAATCAAAGGAAACTAATCCATAATTCCTGTCTCTGCCTTTACATGATGCTGTATCCATATTTTTAAAGCAATTTCACCCTTTGGATAGAAGTCAAAAGGATCCATGCAAAAAATTTAATACTCCAAGGAGGAGAAAAAAATTGGTGCTGTGCTTTTTCAACTTGCCAAGTTAAAGGAATGTTATTGAGGACTCTCTTACATAAATGTTCCTCGACCTCTGAATGAACCAACAGGTCTTAAAAACTGCATTAGCCAAAGCAAATTCCCACAGCAAATGAAACATTTAGCCGAGTGCATCGGGTTTTTCTCGGAGCAGCACAAAGGAAACTCCAAATGGCAAGTTAGTGTTTCCTGTTTGGGTCTAAATGAGCTCAATAAACTCGTGGTGAGCAGCTGCCAGCATCTAGATAGTAAAACTGGAATACACCACACTAATCCTCCAGGACGACACAGCTAAAGCTGATGGGAGTAGTTTAAGGCAAGCGTGGAATGCCTAAAGTCCAGATTGCTGCTAAACTACCTATTGCTCCTCAAGGAAGGCAGAGAGCATTAGGAAAACCTTCCTCATTCAAACCTGGCATCTCACTCCAACTTCATTCCCCACAGCATGTCCCAGAGCCTCGTGCAGTCCATAAACCCCTGAACATCCATTATTCTGTGCACTGAGGCAGAGTTGCCAGGAGTGACACAGTCTGTGGCCATTTAACACTGCACTGTGACACATTTCCTCTTTGGGTCTGGAGTAAAATATACATCAACATATAGTCTATTATATAAAAACTAAAATTCAATACAAACCAACCTCTGTGTGGATGTTATAAAAGAATTTTGCAGTCACCCAGATGCACCGATCCAGGGTGATGATTACACACCTCAAGAGGTGAATTCATGTCACATGTAACATTAATGAAGTTCCCTGAGTAAATTCCTCAGAGCAAAACTGTCTTCTGCACTCAGGAAAACAGCTCTTAGAAGTCAGGTCCTGTTTCCAGGGTTCAGTGAACTACTATGACATGCAGCAGAAAAACCTGTCTTATGGCTGTGCTCATGGTGTGAAGGAGCACAAAAACTACAAATACAACCTGCATTTCAAAATTCCTTCATTAGTTTTGATTATGCTCCCCTACACAAAGCTTTTATGGCATCAGAATCAGGCCTCTCCCATGGCTTTGGGGTGGTTACACCCTCAGGTTTACAAAGATAGTCAGCGTCCCAACAGCACATTTCAGCAATAAAAGGTAACACAGGCTGCAAGCCTGGAACAGCAATTAAGTTTGTTCCCAAAACAAAGTAAAGAGTCTTTGGGGATTTAATCAGTGATAAACTTCAGACAGCTCACACAGTTGACCTCTCAGAGCTTTTGTTCTGCAGCTTGAAGGATATTCTAAGCTTTGAGAGAGCAACCGTGAGGAGCAGTTTATTTGCATAACTTCCTTCCATAAACCAGAAATATTTAGATGGAAACAGGAAGAAAGGATTCTACCAAGCATGCTGGAATGCTTATCCATAAATCTTAAGGTACGGGGAAAAACAACTGTTTGTTGTTAAATCATGTCAGTATTTCTGGCAACCATTTTACACAGGGAGCAGGAGAAATGCTTCTTTGCCCTATAGCTTCCAAATTGTGGCATCTTCAAAGGGATAAAAAAGAAACAATATCATTCTACTCTTTGGAGGGAGAAAATGGAGAAAAGGGAGAAAAGATAAATGAAATCTTTATCCCACTGAAATCAGTCACAGAATTCCTGCTGGCAGCAGCAGGTTCAAGATTTCAGATTCTCTGGGAGGATGAATTTAGATTAATTCAATCAAGTGAAGCATAAAAATAAACACACTTGGCCAAAATTTGGAAAAACTTTGGCCCATAACAGGTCCAAGTGATGCTCATCCAAAGGGCAATGAGGAAAAACAAAACTCCATTCCAAACCCAGGGATTCTGACAGCACAGGAACACAACAGCTTCTTTGGTCAGCCCCCAAATCTGTGTTTGCACTATTTAACTGTGTAAGAACATCCTCTCGCCTCACAGGACGTGGAGGAGAAAGATTCTAAAAGCCTAAAGCACCAAAGAGATTTCATTTGGCCAGAATATGGGAGTTAGTTTTCCCTATGTCCAATATTTTCCTATCTTTAGGATTTCTAAAGCCTATATTGTGGCCAAGGCCTCGCTGCTGCATTTCAGCGCCTCCCCGATTTGAGCCTGATCTTCCACCCACATCTTCAATCCAAACTTTGAATTGCCACAAGAGCAAACAGCTTCTGACAGCAAATAACACGCTCTAGAGTCGCTCCTGAGCCAGCCTGTTCTTCTTTGGGATCCAATCCCTGGGGAGCTGGCAGCACAGGAAAAGCAAACACACTTGGAGCTTGGCTCCACGCTCTCGCAGCCTGTCAGCTAAACTCTGGTCTGGTTTGACATCCCCATCCTGCAGCACTGGGGAACATTGGGGAACAACACAAACACAGCGCTGGGAATGGGAATTACCTGCAGGACCAGCTGTTATGCTGCATTAACCAACTCAAAGCACCACTGCTCCTATTTTCTCCCGACTTCTAGAATTAGTTCACTCCAAACAATCTGCATCAGAAAGGGGAAAGGCCACAGTATATATTTTAAAAAATTGCAGTCGTGTGCACAGTCAGTCTCTGGGGACTTATTGCAGAAACCATTACTCTAAAGATCTCCAAACAAAGCTTATCTCTCAGCCTTCCAGCAACAGCATTTAAAGTGGAAAAATGCAAGCCTAGCAAAGCTTTTATTAGCAAATTAATCTGAGCTTGTTTATGTTGTAAAATACAAGAGAATTATTGGTTGCACTCTGGAGTGAGCACTTAAACAGGCAGTAATGAAATAAAACCCATGAAATGCACAGCAATTACAGAGGAAAATCAGGGATTCTTGGCAAATGCCCCCACTTGGGAATCAATGGACCCACTTCCAGTCCCTCCCTTCCCATTTTCCTTCTGACAAAGCTGCACCTTCTCCGCTTACAAAAGTTGATAAGGACCTAGTGCTCAACTGTAATTCTGGCCATGCATTAAAGAAATTCCTAAAATAAGGAACAGAAATATTTCCAAACAGCTGAGTGAGTATTAAGTACCTCTGCTTTACAGAACCTTCAAAAAAAGTATCTTGTTTCATTACATGGCCAGCTGGACTTTAACAAAATGCACAAAGAACCCGAGTTCTAAACTAAATCTAAACTAAAATCCCTTTAGTTTAATACCCACAGGATTTAGGCTACATTGATATGGAACCTCTAAAAAGTTCCTCTTTGCCAACTTCCAATTTCCAACTCCTCCTCAGAGCAGAAATAACATGCCTAGAGAGTACTGCCACTATTTGTATTTTATTAGATACATTTCTAAGCAACTGATTTCCCCCAGTAAGAGACTTTATTGTTTATTTTCTAGACAGAAGGGGCTCGAGGTCAGGAATTCATCCAGAAGAACATGTTCTCTGCCTGCAGCAGCTCCCATTAAGGTATGTTTGAAAAGCCTCTGTCAGCAACCCCAGCAGGACAGGGGTCAGTTTTCTGTTCAAACCGAGGTGCTGAAAGAAAATCATTGCACTTAAGTGCTCTGGTACCTCCACTAGACCTCTCAAATCCAGCCCAGCCTTTCAAAATTTCCAGGAAATCCATATTTAAAATGTTATCCTATCAGAAAAAGTTCAGGGTTCACTGTTTTCTAAGACACGCTCCCAAAGTGAAACACACACACAGGGACAAATGGGAATCCAGCACAGCCCTCAAAAAGGGAGGAGGACCAGAGCCAGGCAGATGATCTCCCTTGCTCAAGTTTAAGTATTTCCAAATTGACCAAGTCTCTGCCTGAAGATTCCTGGCCCATCTCAGGCCATCTTAAAACACGAGAGTGGAAAAGCAACTTCTTGGCTGGCTTCACTTGGCTGCAGAAGCACATTTCAACAACTTGTGACAGCACCCCAAGTTCTCAGCTGGACTCAGTAACAAGCAGTTTTTCACTGCTCAGGTGTGCGTACAAAAGTGTGGGTTCCCTGCAGGAAGACAGGGTACTTGGCACAGGGAAATGTGTTTTCCTTCCCTACCCTTCAAGCCTAAAAGGACCAGGTATTATTAAGCCTCAGAGCACACAGTACAATACTCCACATTTTCATAGGGATTTGAGTACCAGGGGTTCTGAGGGCTGGAAGATTTCATTCCAAAGCCAAATCCCTATAAATAAGGCAGCAGCAGTCTTTTTCTTTCTTCCTTGAAACAGAACTAGGGGATTATATTAAGTAAAGCAGGTTAAAAAAATGTTATTTACCACTACTCTAATTGCAAAGTTAATTAGGCAGTCAGATTATGAGCTGGCATCTTAACAAATGAGTCCACAAAGCTCAGCTCCTTAAATAAAGGAACATATGGATGTGTGCACTCACCTTAACCATGAAGCAAGTTTACACAGGCTTCTTACCCAGACCCAAAGCCCACGGCCCAGAGGATAGATGTGTGCACCAAAAATTGATCAAAACCATCACAATGCCACTGATGAAAAGCTGCAATCCCTTATTCTCAATTTTCTGTGATCCCTCAAACTTGAAAAACAGAGCAAAACCCCTCACTCAGGAGAGCAGCAGCTGCTGTTGCTGAGTGCTACACTGAGCTTCAAAGGAACAAGGTATTTTATTTACTGATAGAAATCAGATCAATTAAGTGCAGGTAGATATATATAGATATAGATATAATATATATCAAGCGAATCAAGGAGGAGCCCTGCTGCCAGCTGGCCACATGGCTGCACAAAGGGAGGGCTTTGCAAAGACAACCAGGGATTGTCCTGACACCTGCCTGCTTCCCTTGGGCGTCCTCAGCCACAAAGAGGGAGCAGTGAGCAAGTTCTGTCCATTATTTTCAAGCTCAGCAGTGTTCAACGCTGGGCTACTTCAAAGGGGCACGGCAGCGAGGTGGAAAAGCAGTGTACACTGCGAAGGACAGGCTGATTAAGTTCTGAAACAGCACCAGGATGAAAGATAGAGGAAGAAAAACGTTTTAATCCCATGCCTGCTTGCCCTGGATTTCAGAACCTGGCAGCCCCACAGCTGACAGGGGCTGGAGCACCCCCCTGTGTACAGTAGCACGTTCAACAGTACTTCAGCCCTTTTTTCTTTCCAGAAACCAGGGAACCGTGCCAAAAACCACACTTTGCCCTCGAAAAAAATTCTTGCACTTCAAGGAATCCACCCCAGTAACTCGGCTTTGGGTGAAGAGTTTGGATTCCCCACTAGAACACCTCCACAGAACGAGCAGGTGGACTGGCAAGGTACCAAGTTCCCTGGCAGACAGCAGCACTCCCCTCCAGCACCCTGGAAGAGGTGTTGGATCACAGTGACATCTCACTCCTCAATGGGACACGGACCAACTCCTCTCTCCTGCAGTATTTCAGGCTAATAAGCAGAGGGAAGTTAGGACCTCCTTTCTAAAACCTCAATTCTTTTATTACTACTGGCTTTGGATCATTTACTTACCATTTCTTTGTTTTTAGCAAAGCCAGAACAGGAAGCAAACAGAAGAGGTGGTGACACAGTTAAGCCAAAGAGAGCTCTAGATGACGTTACTTCAGTGATACAGTGCCATTCAAAGAATCCTGCACAGGCCTTCTCAAGAGCGTGTTTCTCAGACAACACAGCAACGGGTTTTTCTGATTTCTCCTCCAGAAACCCTCCTCAGCCCTTCCACAGCCAACCTCATTCGACCTGAGACAGCTCATTACATTTTTCTTTGATCATTAATCCCAAATTAAGAACTGTGCAGTGTGTGCTCTCCCAGCTATATGCACAGAAAGGGATCCCAGCCAGGATATTTCAGCAATTTGGAGTTCTGTCACAACAGAACCCACTCAGGGAACTTGTACTTCACTCATTTCAGTTCCCCAAGTTCATGCTCCCTCCTAAGTACCTGCAGTATTCCAACAACCCCCTTCCAGAGTCAGGGTTCACCTCAAATAATGCTGTAAGAAATCCACCTCCAAAATACACTTGCTGGAGGAACCTTATTCCCTTTTAACTGGCACTGGCAGATCTCAGGTGTGGTTTTGTAAGATAAAAAGGGTGCAAAACGAACATAAATAAATGGAGAACTGCAAATCTAACACAGCCAAGTTCCTGCACTGAACATTCCCTCAGAGCTGTACGGAGCACCAGCTCCCTCTACTGACACTTTCCCAGATAAAAATTCAAACTGCACCTTTGCACCGACTTTTTCCAACACCTTCGGCGGAAGCAAAATGACAATATGACATTCAGAGAAACCCGTAACACCCTTTAAAAATCTAGAAACCATTTCCTACCTGTGATGCAGACCTGGAAAGGGCTTTATCACATCAATTCTGACCTCCTTGCCTGTGGGTTTTGAATTTTTAAGACGCCATTAGATGAGATGCATTTTCCTGCTTGCTTTGACTCGCAGTTTCACATATGTTTTTCTTTTTGGTACAAGAATATCCTGCCAGCATCCAGATGTAACTCTAACACTGATGTTCTGAGGTTCATAACCAGACAGTGAAAACATGCCCACAGGTAAAGGGCAGCGTTATTAGTACCGTGACATCTGCACTTTTTCTCCAAAACTGCTGTTTTCCCTCAGAAACTCTATCTCAGCCCTACCTGTTGAGTTTCACTAAGCTATCACCACAATTCAAATAAATGCTTCCAAATCTGCATTAAAAATTCCAATCCCGATTTTTTGTTAGTTTACATCAAAATATTAACTTGGAATATTAAAAAACTTAAACAAGTATTTCGTGACCACTTTAACAAAAAAACCCCAAACAACCTCTTTACCTTTGGGACTTACAGTAAAAAAGAGGCAGGCTTACATGCGTCACATTTTATTTAACACTCACCCGCACAGCTCCTTACAGTAATTCAGGAGACAAACCTGGACTATTGGACTGCTGTAGTTGCAAAACAACCACCCTTGAAACAAAGCTTCCCAATGAAGACACACACCTGTGCAGAACAGTACCCTCTCTATGGCCTTCAGTGCTTTATTTGGAAAATAAATACACAGCAAATAAGTACATCTCAGTAAAACAGCACTGCTTCACTCCTGAGACAGCTCTTCCTGCAGCTCAGGGATGTCATTTCTTCAAGCTGTACTTGGCAGCCAAGGCAGCCACAATGTCCCTGTAAGGAGTATCCGAGTCGGATTTGGTCCTTGGAATGCAGCAGAGCCGTCGGAAGGCGGGCGAGCGCAGCAGGAGGTTGTGGGAGAGCCCCACGAGGCTCGAGGACAGCCAGTACAGCGCCAGGGACTGCAAGGAGACAAACAGAGCTCGCTCAGCTCCCGGGAGGGAGGAGAACAACAGCTTTAGGCAGCTCTTCCCGAAGCACAGCCATGGGCTACCCCCAGTTACTGACAGGAATAACTCACCTAAACCACTCCTCCTCTCAACAACAACAATGGCTTCTGTGTCAAACGTAACTGTCTGTGTCTCTGAACTCTTCTGGGCAAAAGTGTCATCTACACTGAGGCTTGCAGTTCATAAATTAAGGCATGTTAAACTTGTTTCAACTTCTGTATTCCAGACTATAAACTGATGAGAAAACAACCAGACACTTGGTTTTTGCTAAGAATATTCTGCAGTAGAACACCTGGTAAAAGTGAGAAGTGTTTGAAGAAAACTCTGAAACATGTCCCCATTTAAAACTAGCCTGGTTTCCTCTTTCACTTAACAAACTCTTGCCTATATGACTTTATACATAAAGTTTTCCTCTCGGTTTTGAGACCACACAAAGGACATTAACTTGCTCTGAACATCCTTCCAACTTTGCAAATTCTTCCCTCTTGGGCAAAAATATTCCAAAGGCATGATGAATTTAAACACGCTTGTAGACAAAACATCTGATGTGTTTTTAGGCAAACAGCAGCAGAAATAGAAACCCGTGAGGCACTTGGGCTGCCCTTTAGGCACCACAACACACCAGTCGTGGGTGAAGAGCCACGAAAGTCACGTCAGTACTTACAGAGGGGACTGTGGCAGCCACAGGGATCATCGCCACGGACACCACGCGGAACAAATTCGTCACGAGCTTCTGGAACCTGGACACTTGCATTTTTTTTTGCGAAGAAAAGATCTGAAAGAGGAGACACAGTTATAAACAGGTTCTTTTTGAAATGACCAAGCTGAGGGTTAACACCCAGAAAGCTCATTAGAACATCATTCTAAGAGAAATTTCAGTCAAAACTAAATTTTACCGTGGCTCAAGTAAATCTGAGACATGTCACATCACAACTTGTCATCTCTGAACAAGACACTGACACATTCAAATGCACAGAACAAAGAGGTTATTTTTCAGTTCTGCCCAGTGCATTTAAAGCAGTGATAATCTTATGTTTTAGAACTGGGTAATATTGTCTAAAAATTCCGTGAAAAGAATTATCCCTTTGCAATCACTGTGTTTATTCCACTAACGTACCTCCACTATCAGCAGATTCACCAGCCCCAGGGAAACGGGCAAAATCCACGTGGAATCAGGTGCCGTGAGGTCTGTAAACCACAGTGCTCCTCCTGATGAAAACTGCTCTTGAACTACAAGAACAATTTAAGGCAAGTACAGAACTGAGTAGGATTTGCTGCCTCAAGTGAGCCAGAACCGTCCCATGCATTACAATCCAAACACACAACTTTCTAGGTACATTTTAGCTACGTGATAAATGCTGTTAAAGCAGAAATCTGTGGTTCAACAGATTTTAACAGTCTGCTATCAGTACAAGTGAAAACAGGTAGGAGATAAAAGCTGAGAGCCAGCTTAGCTCTCAACAGCCACTGAGAGGTAAACCCGCAGCAAAAACTACTTTGATCTCAACCACCACTTTACAAGTCAATGAGGAAAATAAGAATGCAGTAACCTATAGTGTTTATTTCGTGTTTTTGAAATAATTATATATAATATACATATACTTATATATATAAATATAACAATTATATTTTTATTACTAACTGCATAACTAGCTACGTTTTTGTTTAGAAGAACAAACTATAAACTCATCTCTAAAGAAAATATATATAATTTTTTTATTTAAAAACCATCACACATTCACCTCGTCTATAGTATTTCACAAGGAAGAAAAATAATACAGACTAATAGTGAGTGTGCCGTGGCATGGGTAATATCACTTGCTAACTAGGATTATCAGGCTATATTAAGTTTAAAACTAAGTTCAAACTATATTAAGTTTAAAGACTCAGTAGCTGACTTTTTATATCAGCTGATACATCCAGTTCAAGAGGGTGTGTTCTGTAACCAACAGAGGGTCTGCGAAAACAGCAAATGAGTAAGACATGACAATGAAAGAAGCCACCTGTGCACGTTAATCACCTTCTGAGCCCACGGCACCGATGCTGCAGTTGCGCAGAGCCAGGGACACGCAGACCCACATGGGGATCTGCACCCACACCAGCAAGGTGGCTTTGAAGGGGTGGCAGTTGTCCCGAATGTACAGCTCTGTAACAATCCTCCGCAGGTTCTTCTTGAAGTGGAACCTTCGAGAGAGAAAAAACAACCGCTCAGAGCTTTAAAACAGATAAAGGCTGAAAGGGAAAAGAGCAAATGAATCATAGGAGGGGAATGAAAACCTAAGCTTTGGGCACAATGGCAGAATCTTTGTGGGCTGTTCCCTCCTGCCACCCCTCGCTCCGGAACGGGTTTGTGAGCTGTGTACAATCCCCCTCGTACCTGGCCACCTTTTCAGACCAGCCCAGCTGCTTTCCTCGCACTGAAACCTCATAGCGAAGGCGCTCGGCGAGTTCCTTAATCTCAGGCTGCAAGTTTTCCAGCTAGCTAAAGAAAACGAGAAATGTTTGGGCAAAGTTGCAGGCAACAGCCACTTCCTCTTCCCTCCTCTGTTATTAATTATCCCTATGTAATTAAAAACCTGTACAGAGATTAACCGTATTCATTGTCACTCTATAATATAACTTAACAACTGTACAGATATTAAACATATTAATTACCACTGTGTAATTTAATATGTGTACGGGTATTAAACACGCCTGTGAATGACAGGGCATCTTGTGAATGTCTTGCAGACAAGGCAAGTGAACACCTTATATCTTTAAACAATATAACCATGTGAAGATAACAGTGGCAAGTGTAACAGTGACAAGTATTTACAGTAACAATCCAAGACAATCCTACATGAAGCGAAGACAGAATTTTATTAGATTTTATACGTTTTTAAGAAGAAAATTGTTTCTATCCCAACTGAAATCAGGGCAATTCTTAACAAGCATCTTTTTGCCTTCATTCAGGACTTGTGACCAGCTACTTTACTTACAAAGACCCACCGACTTCAATGCCACCTCAATGGTAATCAACAAAAGTACTTAAAAACCTCCGAAAACCGGCGGAATAAAAGAATTGTTACGTTTATTCCTCGCCCCCCTCTCCCTCACAGCCCCTCCCGTCCCTCAGAGACCCCTCAGCCCACCCCTCATAGCTTCCTCTGCCCCTCTGAGCCCCAAAAAAGCAAAACTCCCCAAAATCACAAGACCCGCTGCAGTAAATGAACTGTTATTAAGAATTGTTTAAAAGACGCTTATTCCACGCCCCCTCGCTTCCCCCGCCCTCAGCGCCCCGACCTTGGCGAGCAGCCGCCCCTGGTGCGCGGCCAGCGGGAGGGTGACGGCGGTGCGCAGCAGGGCGGCCCCGCCGGCGATGGCGGCCCACCAGGGTAGCCCGGTGGCCGCCTGCAGCGCCGCCAGCCCGCCCTCGGCCCAGTGCACGGGCTCGGAGCTCGCCGCCCACTCATACCAGCCGCCGTCCCCTCCGCGGCCGCCCGGCCCCGCTCCCACTGCCGCCGCTGCCGCCGCCCGCGGGGCCCGCGCGCCCGCCCGCGCGAGCCGCCACATGGCCAACGGCGACCCCACACACCCCGGTGTGCGCATGCGCGGCCCGCCCAAGGGCGGAGCGCGCGACGCCGTGGCCGCCATGGCGGGTATGGGCAAAGGGGCGGGCAGCCAGCGCCGCTGTGCAGCCACCCTCACGGGAAAGAATGTCTGCCCCCTCCCTCACCTACACTGCCTCTCCTTCACTTCCTACCCATTACTCCTTGTACAATTCCCCAGGAGTCCCGCGCCGGCTTCCCTGCAGGCCCCTTCAGGTACTGGAAGGTGCTGCCAGGTTCTCCAGGCTGAACAGCCCCAGCTTTCTCAGCCTGAAAACTGTATTCATTAATGAGCAATTACTCATTCCACAGCAGCGGTGTTCTCCTGCCCACCCAGGTTCTGAACTGTGTCTACCTCTTGTGTAGCAAGGAGAGGTCTAAATACTCCTTAAAACCACACACTCCGCACCATGTTTTCCTCTCCATGTTCATCAGAACCCTGGTTGTTCCCTTTTCTCAAATAAAGAGCACCTGCCAGCTCCCAAAAGAGCATGTTCCTTGGTTTATTGGACAAATAAAAAGCATTATATTGTGTAAGAATTAAAAAAAAAAAATGTATCTGAGAAAAAAAAAAAAAAAGTCCAGCCACAGTGGTGGCATCAAGCCTGTGCTGCCCCACACATGGACTGAGCTATCAGGTCAACAAATACTCGGGAATTCAGTCTTAATCAATACTGAGTACTGTTTCTCAGTAGGATTAACAATTAGTAACCTCAAACAGCACTGAAGCCTTAGGCAAATGATGTAGCAGAGAGCTGCTGGTCACACAGCAGAGGGGAAGGACACACAGTACCACCACAGTAAGGTGTGAGATGGAGTTGCAATCCTTTCTCTGAGCAGTTCTTCATTTCAGGATCCACACTGTTCCCACCACATCTTCACAGGATGTACTTGCAGCTGAAAAAGGAGCTTGCTTTCATTTAGAGCACCACCTAAGGGCAGGTATATGGAAACGGGTATGTACAAGGCTTGTGCCCACCTCAAATATCACAGGATGTAAAAGGCAAGTGGGGTATTTTTTCTGGCTTTCAAAGGAGCACCATAAAAAAACCCAATAGTACTTCTTAAATCTGAGTTGCACATTTCCTTTAAACACTATGTATAGGAACTGCAGGGGGATCTTGACTGGATCAGTGCCACTGCTCACCCAGTCTGGCCTCAAAGGACCCCCCCAGACTTTACCTCCTGGTACTGCTGTTCACAGGTGACAGCTCCTGGCTGTAGGGGAATTCCCACCTGAACTTCTCCAAATAAACCTTCACAGGGCTTTTTCTGGAATAAACTTGCCTTTGGAGCTTTCAGCAGGGAAGCTCTCATTTCAAGCAGAGAATGTATGTATTCTCAAAAAAAATCCAACACATATTTATTTGGGAAAAGCCCTCTGATAATGCCTAGGGTTTTTTTGTTTTTATAACGTACTTAAATTACACAAGTAGAAAAGTTATGCTTATTAATAGTTTAATGTATGAAGGAAACATCCAGATTTCTGAATATGAAGGTACATATCTCACATTAATTTAAGTCTACATAAAGTAGAGCCTCTATAACTGACATATTGAAATTTACTTTCTGCTTAGCCATTTGTTATGTAAACAATTGTACATTTATTTGCCATTCTAAAACTTCAGGATCAAGTTTACATAATTTTGCTAAATTTCTGTGTTTGCTCAGAAGCAGTTTACAGTACTAAAACCAACCAGCCAAAGAACAGCTTCAACAGAAAGTTATGTCAGAAAAAAAAAAAAAAAAGAGGAGGAAAGGAAAGAAGAAAGTCTAACTAAGTTGAAACATATGATGGTGGGGAATGGGTGGTCACAATGTTCACAGAAAAAGGTCAGTTAGTAAGTTCTTCTGCAAAAAGCCTACACACTTCAGTCAAGCACATCAGTAGAATGATCTGGGAGCACATAAACTGTTTCTGCCATTTGTGGTTTCCTCTGCAAAACAAGGAATCTCAAGGCCAGCACGTTGATCCCACTCAGCCCAGTTGGTTCATATGCACACTGTTCATGTGAGGTGTCCAAGTTCCAGTCCACACCTGCAAGAGAGACCTGTGTTAACCCTTTGCTTGGGGCTGCTCAGAGCAGGGCACAAGTCACAGGGACACTGCGGGACCCAGGAGAACTAACAGGACTCCGTGCATGTGCCAAAGCACTTGCAAGGCCAGTGCCTGAATCCCTCCAGCTCCCAGAGCGAGAGACTCACCCTCCTTTTCCAGTTCAGATTTGATATCAATCAATAACTTGATTTCTGGCACCTTATCTCCCCCCAGCACCCTCAGCTCTGAGGAAAGCCAAGTCTAACCAAGTGAAGCTTTCTCTGGGGGACAAAGTTTCCTCATTAAATCAGAAACCACCTCACTGTGGTCAGGAGCCACTTCAGAGCAATGCCTTAACTGTGGCCAAACCCCCTCTTCCACACACCTATGGTCTGCCAGAGCTGGGAGCTGTTCCCTGGAGCTTGGATCATTCCCAAGCAAATTAAGCCTAGAAACATCTTTATTTAGTAACAGTGTAACAGAGCTCACTGTCTAATTAAAAATAAACACAGGATACAACCTAACAAGAGCCACTGACGTTCCATTAGAGTATTAGTTGCTGAGTAGGAACAAGAGGTTTAGGGGAATTAAACGCGCTGCCTAAATTATATTTAGTGGACAAGCCAGGCAAGACCAGAGCAGCAAAGAGCTACTTACTCCCTTCCTATTAGCACTCCTAACACAGTCAGGAGTCCAGCAACAACCCCCTGCTGGTTTCCATTTTTGGGAAGGGAAAGCTTCACTAACAGGAAAAATAAACAGCTTTTCCTACCAAATTTTGCCCCAAAATTTGTTTTCCCAAATGCAGAACCGCACAGACAGGAATCACGATGGTTTTGGGTAAAATACACAGTGTAAAAAAAGGGAACAATTACCGTCTGAGGCCCGTTGTTCTCTGTGGAATTTGAAACCATCTTTAT